TTATATTATATTCTGTAGCTTTCTCGATCATCTGCCTTACTGTGTGTAGATGTTCTGTCGTGCTATAATGGCTTCGGAATCCAGCCTGTTCCTTTGGTTGGTAAACTTCGAGTTTTCGCTCTAATCTGCTGGTGATTATTCTGGTGAATAATTTATATATTTGTGATAGTAAGCTTATCGGCCGGTAGTTTTTGGAGATCAGTCGGGTCACCTTTCTTGTAGATCAGAACCACTACAGCATTCTCCCAATCTTTGGGTACATGTTCTTCTGTTAGGCACTTATTTTATTTATATTACTGTTTTAGGTGATTATTGACCAAAAATCGCTCGGACACATTATTTTTTGTTTTCTGGGGGACATATTTTATTGGTATTTACATCCTCTACCTGTCTGTTGTTTTCATCGGTTGTTTCCGTCCAATTCTGGGGTTCCCCGAATGTTTCGAGACAATGAATGCACAGATATATTGAGTTACTGCATTCACTCCAATGTGGAATACACAAGTGGCAGCCCGTCAAGAGCACGTTCAAAAGTCTATAAAGATATAGATAGACGATACTATTGAATCGAGGGTTCGGAATCCGGGTCCTGTTCTCACAAGAGTCTCTGACAGTTTGCAAACTATCAGAATGCATCGCCCATGCATGTTTTCAATGCTGTTGTTCCGTAACTTAGGCTGAGCGATTGTTACTGAGAGTTTGCAAACTATCAGGGACTTTTGTGAGAACAGACATGAGAAGTCAAAAATTCTAGAAGATTGCCAGCAAAGCAAGATAATATATTGGCGTTAATGACACAGAAAGCCTAAGAAACTTTCAAGACAAAGTAGGTAGCCATCCAATGGTCAGCTAGAGCCATTCAGACAAAAATTACATCTCACTTTAATCAATAAACTGGGAAAATTTACTTAATGGAAATGTTTGCAAGTATTTTTTTTTGAACTTATGGTTTAGAGACCATTGCTGACAATATTTTGCATTTTTAGGTAGACCCTCGATGGTGTGAACGCCTCGATAATATGAACACGTTCGGTTTTTTTGTGTTCACACTAGCGCGAGTCTACTGTAATACTACCAGTTACATTTGAGATTCTAAAGTTGCCGTCACTTGACCGAAACTGAAGCGAACGTAAAATTGGATGACGCATGTAGAAGCGGCACAAAAAGTTACCCCGATCCTCAAAATTTCAATTATATCGGATGACACGTTCCGAAGTTATCCTCTGGGTAAAACGTCGTGGGACACCTTGTATATACAAGGCGGGGCACGAAAAACTTTCCCATACTTCCCACCCAGGTTTTCTCAAATGTTAGGTGAATAATCAAAAATCGCTCGACCATTTAATTGGTATTTTCACCCTCCTACCTGTCAACCCCTAAGCGGCGGTGACAGGTACCCCCAAAATTTCAAATAGAAAGGGAGGTCGAGTGATACGTCATTTGATGGAAAGTTTTATTAACGTTATATCCTCGAAATTTTAAGTTGCGTTAGAGTAAATAGTCCCTGCCAAAATGGCGGCTCGTCAAAGTTAGGACATATGTAGTACATTGTATTACTCGAACCCCCTTTCCATTCGAAATTTTGCGGGTAGAGGGTGGAAATACCGATAAAATGTGTCCCCGGAAAAACAAAAATTGACGTGTCCGAGCAGTTTTTGATTAATCACCTAACACCTGAGAAAACCTATGTGGAAAGTTTTTCGTGCCCCACCCTTTATAACTCACAAACTATCTGTATGTTTTCATTGAAAACAATCGATAAACAGTCACTAAAACCTTCAGCAGCAAACTTATATAATTTCCGTTGTCTTTCGGGGTCTCCACTGGCGGCCATCTTGGAGAATCGCCGGCCACGGCCGCCGGGGGGCAGTTGGTCGATGGCTCTACATCCAAATTTATTCATATTACATCCATCTACCTCTGTGCCAAATTTGGTGCCTTTATCAGAAAGTGCACAATAGGTTAGCTTATCCGCTGTACTATATTAAAAAATATGTTGATGATCTTTTTTGTTGTAGGTCAAAAATGTGATGAAATTCTTCAAATTTTCAACAATTATAATCCTCATTTAAAATTTACCTTAGAAAAATAAAATATATTTTTTTTTTTTCTTGATACCAAAGTCATTAGATTGGATAATAACACTCTAATTACAGATTGGCATATTAAACCAACAAGTTCTGGAAGATATAATAGAGAGTTATTACCTTATTTTGTATCCATAATTTTGACAGCTGATAGCTATTTTTATAAATTTCAACCTCAAAAAGTGTTTATTTGTGTTTGTGATTTTCTGCTGATACCCATTTTTTGATGTTACCTACAGTAAAATGAAAAACTATTGCAAAAAACAAATTCTCTAGTAAAATTACGCCATCGTCGAAAAACGAAAGTCAACGTCGTCAAAAATGTCAGAAATATTGAAATGAGGGAAGCTTACTGCCTCGCACTAACCATACACAAATAAAGGCAAGCAGTAACCTCATTAAGGGAATCCTTATTTTCAGACCCAAATGCGCATGCGCAGATGTCAAAATAAGGCTAATTCGAATATTGCTTGTCCTTATTGCACGTCCAATCACTCTCTATTAACTATGTGTCATATCACACTGATAAAATGAAAATTAATTAAATTTTATGCTTAAAAAACCGGATTGAAAAATTAGTCCATCCGACTTTAATACAAACATTTTTTAAAATTTTGAAACAAATCCTATTTTAATGAACTTTACAGCAAAACAAAATATATCCGCTAATAGTCCGGGGGCCGAGGACCTTTTTTCCAAATCATTAATAACAAGCTAGTTTTTTCAATGCAGCTTCATTTCACCGAGACGCCCAACTTTTTTCTTTTCGAAAATTGCGAAAACAGGTAGCTAACATACTGCGCAGGTGTAAAACATGTCGATTTGGGGACTATGAAAATTTAATTAATAACAGTTAGTTTTTCAGCTAAATGTTGAGATAATTTTATGAATAATTTGAAACAACATTTGTCCGACAAAATAAAGGGTTTGGTCTACGATGTCCCCCCCCTCAAACATGTAGCAATTACGTTGCATAAAAAATGATTAATAACAAGTTGATTTTTTCAATGTAGGTTGGTAAATATTATTACAATTAAATGGTCACACTGTCCTACAAATAAACAGGTAGCTATTTTCAGTCCTACACTCAAAAGTTGTCGATTTCACGATTTAACTTTTTTCATTAATAACCGGCTAAATCTTCGTGAGTATCTTCATTTTGATAAGACGCCCAAATTTTCTGTTGCGAAAATTCCAAAAACAGGTAGCTAACAGAGTGCGCAGGTGGAAAACATGTCTATTTGGTGATCATACAAATGTAAATAATAACAGTTAATTTTGTAGCTGAATGTTGAGATAGTTTCATAAATAATATGAAACATCATTTGTCCGACAAAATAAATGGTTTGATCTAGGCTGTCTCCCTTCTCAAACATGTAGCAGATACGTTACATAAAAAACGATTTATAACCAGTTGATTTTTTTACTGTAGTTTGGTAAATATAACTTCTGAACACACTGAATAATATCTACTCTTATCAAGTTAATATCACCATCACTTCGTTCATATGGTTATGTGAGCCTGAGCACTTAATTTTAAACATTTTTTTTTTTTTTTCAAATTACAGATCTTAGCTAGACTTATTTAATTTTTCTAAATTCTCCTGGGATATTCAATCATTCAAAAGAGTATTCTTTAGACGTATCTAGAGTGCTCACATCCTGAAACTCGAAGGTTTTTTTTTATATTAATGCTTTGGAAAATTTCGTGAAATTTGTCTCAATAGAGTGCTCAAATTCTGGAACGGAAACATTTTTTTCGAAGTAGAGCCATTTTTATCTGAAAAACTTCAAACAATTCCCTACAGAATTCTGTTATTTGAATTTGATTTGCGAAGGGCTCTATAGAGAGCTCACATAACTTCAACGTCAAACAATTGAGATAATTTGAACTATTTTGCCGGCAATTATTCTTATTATTATTGCACTACCTAACAAAAAACGAAGCGATGATGATATTAAGGCAATAAACGCAAATAATATTCATTGATCTATTTGAAAGGTTGGAAAAAGGATATTCATCACTTTGTTGTTTTAAGACGCTGGCTGGAAGGTTAAATATATTGGTCGTTACGAGAATCGCACTTTTGAATTGCGTGGTTTTAGATGTTAAGCTAATTAGGACTTTGCGCGGTAAATGTACGAGTCAGTGGTGCTTTTCAACCACGCGGTTACTGATTTTATTATGCGCGGTTTTGGAAACGCCGTAAGAATTTGCGCAATTTCTGGTTTCTGTTTTCGCGGTAGAATAAGTGAAACGTTCCAAACGGTTCAACTACGGAAAAACTGAACTGCTGGACAAATGAAGCGGAACAAGCGAATTTTTAGGGTAACTTCGAATTCCAATATTACGCGAACTAACAAAGATATCAATGAGCGGTTTGCGAAAATTAACTTTTAAATTTCGCAAATTACTCATTGATATCTTCTTCAGTTCGCGTAATATTGGAATCCAAAGTTAAACTGGAAATTCGCTTGTTCCGCTTTATTTGTCCAGCAGTTTAGTTACAAATGTCTACCTTTTTTTGCATAAACACATGCACATGCATAAAATGTCTGTTTTCGATCGAAAATATTTCATAAACATTAAAAAATAAGCAGGTATCAAATGAAATATGCTTTGAATATACACCTCAAAACTGTGAATAAATAGAATGTTATATTTGAAAATTAAATCTCTTTCTAACCTTTGATGTAGGTATATTAACTTTGTGCTGACACCAAAAGAAAAATTACGAAACATTGAATTGAGCGTGACATAAATTGAGGCTCTTAATGGGTTGTATGATGAACTGGCCAAATTGCCTGTATATACCTACTAACCTAAAACCAAGAGTAGTATCAAGATAAATAAGTACATTGACACACTGACTATAAGGTGCTTAATCGATATTTAATATGACAAAAACTAACCTGGACATCGTTTATCAGTTCAGGGCGCCATTTCAGCTCGGACATTATTAATCTGGAGTGATTGAGTTTTAGATAATAGGATACGTCACTTAGCCGCTTGTCTTCGTAATCCCGCCATATTTCGAATGTTACACTCCTAGCATCGGGTATTACGCCGTAAGTATGTAGACTTTGACTTCCATCTAAAAAAAAATCATATAATAATTGTCTTAGTGATAGTGTGAGTTTTTGCTTGAAGTAAAACCTTCTAATGAGTGAATGTGAAAAATCCTAAATGAGACATGTTTTGTATTTTCTTAGAACAGAATCAGAGGTTTACTTTGATCTGGTTAAATCATTTCATCATAGTTTCCGATATTTGAGAAGAATAAATAACGATCTAAATATTTTCCCAATTCCATTTCGTACCTATTCGATAATTGTTCTGGATGATAATTTGTTTGTTCAGGTGAAACCAAAGTCAGCATGCTCTCAAACAAGGTTTAGCGATAAAAAAGTTGTCAAAAGGGTTCGCACGGTCAATTTTAGAATTATTTTCATAAGCTTATGTTCAAAATAGCTCAATGTCAATATACGTGGTGTATTACTATTCTATCTAACTATCATCCTCAAATTCATAAAATTATTACATATTATTACCGTAACCATGAAATAAAAAATCTTCGCGCAAAGTTTGTTGATATTAGCTGTATGCAGAGCTGTCAAAAATACTTTTAAAAAGTATCTAGTTACAAGATAAGTTACTTTTGGAAAAAGTATCTGAAGTTACTTTGGGTATTTAGTTACTCATTAAAAAAATGATCTTCAATACGTATCTTAAGTTACTTTTCAAGATACTTGAATAAGATACTTATTAAGATACTTCAATATTACTTCCAAATAGCAAGCGAAAAAACCGATAAAGCTTTTGCTGTTTAGTTTATTTGGTCCTTAGGTTTCAGATTCAATTGTAAAAACAAGAATTTTTATAGTTTACAAAACCCAAATTCGAGAATAAGGTTCAAAATCGCAGGACATAGAAAGTTATCACAGTTACAATGGCAAATCATAGTTAATTTTTTATAGAATATAATGGATAAATCGCGACGTGAACTTTTGAAGTACAAAATCGTCAAACAACTCTTTTATTGAATGAGTGTACACTAACTTCACAGAGCAGCTAGGTGAGTACAAATGAATAATACATAAAACCTAAGCTTGATGCTTTTTGAAGTTTGAACCAGTTTTATGTTTTTAGGTCGGATTTGGGTAAACGTCTCAAGAAACTTTTTTCACGGTTACTAATACTTTTCGTTAACTTAGATTAGACTTTTCAGTATCTAAGATACCTACTTCTAAGTATCTGAGATAATTTTTGGTATTTAAGATACTTTTCGGTATCTAAGATACTTTTTTAAGATACAAGTTACAGATCCTTTTGAAGAGTAACTAAGATACTAGATACTTTTGCCAAAAAATAAAAAGTATTTAAGATACAGTATCTAAGATATTATAAAGTAAGTAACTAAGATACTCTAAAGTAACTAAGTTACTTTTTTCTGACAGCTCTGGCTGTATGCGTACTAATCTTATCTAGTATTTGTCAAAATAAAAATAAAGTAGTCAATCAATTTATTCAAAACGGATATTTTTTCAAAACCAAATTGTTATGCATATTCGTCTTGTTCAATAATTATTTTATTTAGAGTAATTGCATATTGCATTTCCCGGCGGTTGAGCGAAAAAAAAAATCTATTTGAAAGTGCTCTTACCTGCCTAAAATATTCTGACAAGCAAGTCACCCATTGAATGCGAATCCTAATTATCCATTCAATAGGCAAAAAAAAACCTCGCAAGAATTTATTATTAGACTTTGTTATTATGGTTCACTGGTTTCGGGATTTTCAATATACACTGCTCAACAATTGAAGTGGAGATTTTAAAATTTTGCATTTTTTTTGTCAATAATTTAAAATAAAGTTGAAAATCATGTAAAATGACAAATGAAAAAACAAAGCTCTCAAGGCGGCTACTCACTACATGATACTTGGCAAGTATAACTTTACTTGACCGTAGTTTGGCAAGTACTTGTACAAGTGAAAATAAACTGTACACACTATGTGCCAATGTAGCCAATGCTGTATGGAATTTTGGAAGTTCAAGTCGTCGTGAACTCAAGCTTGTGATTGAATGTCTTGGTGGATTAAATATTAATGGAGTCCAAGGGTGATAATGGTTTTCAGTCTGCAGCATTTGTAGTCATGTGTTGTGGTTACCTTTTTTTAAAAAATAAAAAAAAATCTAAACAGTTTCTAAGTATTGCGATAAACAATTTTTTTTTCTCAAATTCGCAATTCCTATTGCGAATTTCTTGCGAGTCTTCAAAAAACTCGGCTTGAACACGTTTCCAGGCATCATGCGTAGCTTCCCAAATAACAGAATCATTTACATAGATATCCAGGAAAAGCAAAACCATTCCACAACTCCACTCCATTTCAACCACAAACAAGACAAGCAAAACTTGTCGCGACTTATACCGAGTAAGTAGCGCTTCGACTTGCCTACTTGCCATAATATGCTACTTGCGCCCTTTGACTTGCGACGATTTACCGACAGCCAACGGCAAGTACAAATCTCGAGTTGAGCATAGGCAAGTCTTCATACACATTACTCGAAACTTGGCAAGTATCACGTAGTGAGTAGCCGCCTTAAGACTGACTATGGACATACTGCTACGCACTAGTTTTGTCAGTCGACATCATATTTCGGATCTATCTAGAAAAACCCGGTGCCCGACTCAAAGGCAATAGAATTCCCCGAAAAGTCGCGAGAGACGTAAACAACTCGTTACTTAGAATATGTCCGAGTCTCGGGCCAATTTCGTTACAATAGGTTAGTAGTAGGTACCGACAAGCAACATTTGATTTTAAAGAAAAATGTGTCCTTTTAGTGGTTCTAATGAAGAAAATTTACTGCGACTGGTCAAACATAGAGAATTCTTGTGGAAACAAAGCCTTTTTTCTATTTATCAGGCTAAAATTACACGTCTCGGATGCATAAAAGTCAAACCCAATTAGGCCGCTAGGACACAAATAAGCTACTTGATACAGATACAGGCATAATGTTTTTTTCTACTGCTATTTTATGATACGCTAATCAAAAGATTAAAATCTGTTTTATAATGAACTTCATTATGATAAAAAAAATTCAGCCACTGGTATCGAGTTATTTCAAACATTAAACATGATTGAACTTATAATTGATCGAACAATGTTATAAAAAAATAACAGACTAGGTTTGGATTGTTTTTGTTAGTATTTACAAAAAGAAGCAACGATAAATAAATAAATTCGCGGAGCGCGGAATTTATGGGCAAATGACTCTAGATCTTAATTTATAAAATTGCCAATAGATGGCACCACCAGTTGGGAAGTTTACTTTTCTGAAAATAAATGTGTATTTCGTTTCTTAATGCTAGTACAGAAAATATATGCAACTCTTATGTAATAGCCATTAATACATGATCTTTGTATAATATACTATTTTTTTGAATTATAAATAGGTACAAAACGCAAAAAAATGCGAAGTTGACAACATCGGGCAATGGTATTGTTACGTGAATCATATTTTTTTGTTCAGTAAATCAGGTTTTTAAAAACTATTTATTTCAATAGAAAGTAAGAAGTTACAACAAAGAATACTAGACTCTAAATTGCTGCGGCAAAAGGCCGAAAACAAAAGGATCTTGATTTTAATTGCTATAGCTCAACTAAAAACAAAAGAATGAGGAGAGAAGCTCCGCGCGTTGTATTTTTAATAAAATACTGCTGACGCCTGCATTCGTGTGGGCCAAACCTTGATATGACGGTACTTTTTTAGGCAGTATCCGTTACTCAGCATCTTTAAAATATCGTGGGCTTTTACAGTGGCGTATGCCTATATTTAACATTGAAAAGGAGAATTATTTGTATAATAATAACATAGGGTTCTATAATATAACTCGTATGAGCGTCACCACTGCCCGTTCAGATGTCGAGGAGTCCATAAATACTGATCGATAACTTGCTAGGCTGAATTATTATTGCTTCAGGGCCTGGAGTTTTTCGTCGAGCATCTTGATAAGCGGGAAAATAGGGGTCGGTCAATAGGCACGACATAAGGGTTGAAAAGTTACCTCTTACTTTATAATAATGCTCCATTCATCGAAGCCGTTCGATCGTCGTTGGTTTTATTGATGAACTTGTATGGGCAACCCCATGGTCTTTGCAATTTCGAGCTTAGTCATTGACAGTGTTCAATGAGTGGTTGCGTATGCCGAGTCCAACCTTCAACCTAACACGTCTCAGATGTAATCTATTTCTGCTGAAATCGTTAATGGAGATTAGCCACATAAACTGGGATGACAGCCGGTGGTCTGTCCAATATGAGATTTACGGGAATGGGAATATCAATTTCTCTCCAGTCAACAGCACTGATATCGTGACAACTTCTATAAGCCAAAAGGAAAAGGGGTACCAGTTGACCCCAGTCTTGCTGGTGTTCATTCATCGACCTCGAGAGGCATGGTTTCCATACTTCGAACTCAAAATTAATAATTTCCATCGGTACCCTGTGTCTGGTTGTGATGTTTTCACTAACGCTTCAGCCTTCAGAAACTGTAACCGCTTCTGGATTAGGGATTGGAACTACCTAGGTACTTGTGGCTGCTTTGGAAAATTCTCCATGGCAAACTTGAAGGACTTATCGCACGATTCTGTTTTAGGGAAAATGTTGTGAGCCAAACCTCACTTCTTCCTGCTCTTTTTGACACCAGCTGGTAACTTCTGACAATAGAGTCAGTCGTTACTGGGTTAGCTGTGCCGACCGGTTGCATTTGTTGCATTCATAAGTTTTGTTCTCGTGACTGAAAATAAACAGTTAAAAATTTAAGCTTTGTTTGGTTCTTATTAGAAAAGATCTGTGATATCTACCTCAATTCTCTGCCAGGGAAAACCAGACAAGTACTGCTCCATTTTTCCGCTAGATCGCACCTTGGACTTCTTCTTGGAATTAAAGAGGTCACATCTTTTGCACCATTTTTCAACATCCATTCGACAGTGGATCCAGTGATACCTATCTCTCACTCGTGCTACCGTCCCGTTAACTCTGAACTGGCCACCACGTTGACTACTGTGCAGTTCACGTAGTAACTTCTTCACAATGATGCGTAGAACAACGATCTGCTGTACTACCTACTAGGCTTTTCCTATCCGGAAACTCCAATTTACGACTCATTCAGCCATAGGTAAACTGAATCCTATTGAATTCAGTATCCCTTCACCGTTTACGGATTTTCAAAATCAAGCAGCTATTACAAGGCAAAATGGGCGGTTCTACTAGGAACTTCCGCCCATAGGGGAAACTGTGGTTATATTCAATGGATCACTACTACTTGAAGCTCTTTTCCGGTAACACAATAATTTTTCCGATAACCACTTCTTCGCGTTTATGAATTTGGGAAATAACACCACCTTCTCTACGTAGGGATCAGATACAAAAATTCCTTCATTCCTTCAGCCCCTCGGAAAACCTTCAATATTCTGATAACCAATTAGAGTGAGAGTCGTTTTTCTCAGCTAGTCGATGTTTCGGCTTCGCAGTTTCTCGATAATCCAATACAGTTTGGTCTAGGGAACCAGCGGTACCGCCCGAAATTTTGTCCTCGTCTATTCCTTTTAAAGATATGCTATGTCCGAGGAAGTTCACTTCTTCGAATTCAATTACAGATTGGCACCATGAATCCTGACAAAAATTTCTCCAAATTCGACAGGCACCTATTCGTTGAAATCTTCGCCAAACAGCATATCATCGGGGTATACCAAGCACGGCCCCCAAGTGAGTACCTACTCGCAACACTAACTCCATCAGTCTTTCAAAAGTGGCAGGTGTATTGCATGATTCGAGCGCCATGACGTTATATTGATATACACCGTTTCCTGTAGTATAGTTGATTTTCCTTTTATCTTTCTTATTAAGCCTCTCCTGCCACCAAGCCTGCCACTATTGTTTCGTTATGCCCTGAGTGTTGAAAACCATTTCTGAAAAGATGTTAATAATATCCACAATCCAAAGTAATAGGCGGCTGCCTATCTTCGTGACGGCCATTCAGCTTTCTATAATTCACACAGAGCCTCCTGGAACCATTCTTTCAAGTACCAAGTACAAACTCCAATTCGAGAACTAATTGTTACGTATGCGCGTTTGCAGGTAGGTGAGGTTGATATCCCACACTTAAATAAGTTTTATTTGGGACAGTACCATAAAAATCACTACAAATCTAGCGACAGTAAAACATTTTGAATCACTTAAATTAGGGTTACCTGTTCGCAAAACTACATATCACTATAACTGGTCTTACTTTTCAATTGGAAAACTCTTTTATTCATTACCCGTTCGCTATTCTACTATTCGTTTTGTGTCGCGAGCTCATTATATACCGTTTCAAGCCTTCCCTAATTTTCCTGAGAATAACATGCTAGAATTCTTGGACAAGGGAATAAAAATAAAAAAATCGGTAAGAGAAAAGGCTTAGGGTAAACTAGTTAAACTTCCAGCGGAAACCGCATCTGACCATCTCTTTTAATTTTTGGGATACTTACAAGTGTGCAAAACAAAAAAAAAACAAAAAAAAAAACAAAATATTCTCAGCATCATACCCACATAATAATATGTTCATGTATTTTTTAATTTCATGCTATAAGCAGAAGCTGAGGATAAAAAAATTCAAACCTACCTTCAGTTAAATTAACGTTGACAGAGAGCAACTTTTCGTCGAAATTTACATAGAGTTTTCCAGAAGTATGATCATTTCCGTGAGCTGAAGTCATATTGGCTGTGTATAACGGAAATCGTCCATCATATCGCCCCCAAAAATGCGATTTTCCGATAATATCTTCTTTCTTGGAAAAATTAAAATAGAGACATTCAAAAATGATATAAACTTATAGAGTAGCATAAGCAAGAAAAATAAATTGACTTCTCAATTAAATATTTTCAAAAATCGAAATTGAAAATATGTTTAGTTAATAATGTATTAATATTAAGTACTTTCTTGAAAACGTTTGGATAATATATGTAATATATTTACTTTCAGAAGAATATCGTTCAAATCCGAATCAACTTTGACCAGGGCAAAGGACCGTGATAAAGACAAGTAAGACCTCTTGTAATCCACAATATGCTCCGTTCCGCATTTCCTAGGGCTCCAATGAATATGTCCAAGGCAGTTTAAATATAAATTCGTAGCATTGTGCTCAGCCCAAATATTGTATGTATAGTTATATGCCTGCACTCTCGATTTATTCTGCGCCCTTATTCCAAAAGTAACGGTCTGTTCTGGAATCGTTGCGTAATCGATTACAACTTTGCCGTCCAACGTAGAGTTCGCGTAGCCGTATGTACTGACCAACGAGACATCCTGTGGAATAAATTAATATCGACTGTAATATTCTTTTATAAGTACCTATTTCACATCTGCAGGAAAAATCTGTTTGTTTTTATTTATTGCTTGTAGTTCCAGTTGTAACTAACAATACTTACTTTCTGGAATGACGGATGTTTAAGCAAAAGTATCATTTGTTCTCTGTGCAAGGCAATTTTCCTCCAGTCCAGGGCAGCTTCAACAGATTTGTTATCTTTGTCCCACACGAGCGAAATATCGGTGGAAACAAGCGAATCGCTTATATTGTAGAAAGCTTGGATGCTGAAGTTACGTCGAGGGTATGACATATTAATAACGAATATTTCGACATCAAAAATGTCATCCTGAAATTTAAAAAAAAAAAGATTTTCTACAGACGCGCCTTTATGATATCAATTATTCATTAATTTCCGCGTACTACATTTTCTCGAAAAGTCAAAAATAGAGGAGATAATAAGGACATTTTAAATAATACATATTCAAAATCAAAAAAGTCCATGTGCAAAAAATTTATTTATTACAAAATTTTTTGTATTAATTAAATAAAATTCTTGTTAGAATTCAATCTTTTTGTTGGATTAAATAAAGTTTTTGCACAGGGACATATTTGATTTTTTGATTTTCTTAAATAAGATGTTTGAATTTCCATTATCTTCCAGATTTTCTACAATTTTATTTTCATTAGAATTTCACCTTTTTTTTCTATTAAATAAAGTTTCCGCACATGGACTTATTTGATTTTCGATAATATTTAAAATGACCAAATATCTTTTATTTTTGAATTTTGGAGAAAATTTTATGAAAGATTCGCTTATTGTTTTAAGTTCTATGTCATTTTAAAACGAAAACCCCAACTTGAAAAATATTCTGTATAGATAGTACCTAATAAATGAAAAAAGGCGATCTTTTATTTTGAACAATATTTTTTTTTTTTAACATGAAGCATACAGGTTTCACCAATAAATAAAGTATTTAAAAAAATAATAAATATACAAATACCCTTGTTCATGGATGGTATATCCTAAAACGGGCAGCCATAAAAGCTCTTTTAGAATACGAAAGTTAACTCTACTTCATTAGAATATTTGTTTTTGTACGCATTTTATAGCATGTTGCTGTATTTGAAAAGAAAAAAAAATGGTAGGGTTTGAATATCAATAGTTACCACGTAACATAGGCAGGTAAATTTTAAACGCAATAAACAGATGAGAGAATAATTATTACTCACCGTGGTTTTATTGATAAGGCTAAAGTCATATTCAATCCAAGTGCTAGGACTAAGTTCCAATCTTGAATGTTGTTTGTATTCTTGGTCTTGAATAGAGTAGTCAGCTGAAAGGATAACCGTTCTATTCAAATGTGTAGCGGTCAGAATATAAGCCTGGCCGTCTTGATGTGTCTCTACATTAATTTCCCCAGTCAAATCAAACTTCGAGCGGTTTTGGAGATGATAGAGTTGGAGGTGTTTGCTATCCTGCATTATAAATCAAAAATAATTTGGTGTTAAATTAAGTTGTTACTATAAATTACGGATTAACACATTCAGGTATAATAATAATTTGTATGAAATAAAAATTGATAGGCAAAACTATGATCCTAGGTATATTAAAATAGCAAAATTAAATGTAAGTAGCATTGATGCTTTTTAGATTACTTTCAACATTCTCTCAAATTTATAAATACTGTTAAGAAATTATAGGTAGGGGAAAGTGAGACAGTCAAAATATTAGTTATTTCTCCACTTTTTAAATAGGTGTCGCCGCAATAAGACATTATTAGTGCTTTAAGAGGAGTGTCGGTTATATTTGCAACCATCTTTAATTTTTAGTTTCGTCGAAAACGCGGAAGGGTACACAAACTTTCCGTTATTTTTTTTTGCCAACGAACTTATTTGGAAAATCTGAGATAACGGTGATTTTTTCCATTATGCATGGTCTTTGAGTGATATAATGGAACCTTATTGCTATTGATACCTGTAACTCAAAAAAAATTGACTACAAAAAACAAAAAAACAACGTAAAAATGGTAACAGACCCAAGAAAAGTAAAAAAACACCTAGAAAGAACAAATTGGGACTCTTATTATGACTGTAATGATCCTAACACGTTATGTGATACTTTGACCTCAAACATAAAAAATGCGATGGAACAGGCAACAAAGGGATTCAAAGTGAAAATAACAAAAAAGAAAAAAGACTGGATCACCTGCGGCCTTATTAACTCTATTAAAAAAAAGGATGAATACTATCAACGTTTGCTGCAGTCACCCAATAACACTGAATTACGGGAAGACTATAGGCGATACCGGAATACCCTTAATCTCTTAATAAACAAACAAAAAAACAAATATTTTTCGGAAAGGATAAACTCACAAAAAAATAGTACAAAAATTCTATGGCAAACGGTCAACAACTTGGTCAAGCCCTTAAAAAATCAAAACGAAATACATGAAATTATGCAATCCGACGGACAAATCACCAATGATAAAAAAACGATCGCAGATGAGTTTAATATATTTTTTTCAGAGGTGGGTCAAAATATGGCAAAAAAATTTAAACAAAACAACAAAAAAAACAGCAACAAATATATCGAAAATAGCTTCTTCCTGACTGAGGTGAACGTGAGTGAAATTTCTGACTATATAAATGAACTTAAAAATGGCAAATCACCGGGCCACGATGGTCTAACATCCGAACTCCTAAAGGAATGCAATGAAATAATATCTCCTCCTTTAACTTTTCTTATCAACAAAATTGTTGAAACGGGAATATACCCAATGCACCTTAAAATTGCTAAAATAACACCCATATTTAAAGCAGGCAATAAATTAGAAATAAAAAATTATAGACCCATATCCCTAATTTCTAGCCTATCAAAAATTATTGAAAAATCCTTAAAAACTAGAATAATCAAATATCTAGATAAGTATGAAATACTATCACAAAAACAGTTTGGTTTTCGAGAAGGAATAAGCACTGAAGATGCCATCTCAACTCTAACCAAAAAGTTATACAGTTCCATAGACAGTAAAAAACCTACATTGGCAATATTTATAGATCTAGCGAAGGCTTTCGATACTATTTGTCACAAAATTCTACTAGAAAAATTAGATGGTATTGGCTTTCGTGGTATACCATTGGCATTGATGCAAGATTACTTGACTGACCGTGAGCAAAGTGTTACCATAGGTGAGGTAAAAAGTGAGAGCAGATCTGTATCTTGAGGTTTGCCCCAGGGAACGGTTATTGCTCCAATACTATTCATTATCTATCTCAACGACTTATTAGAACTTCCACTTGAACTTGTGGCCTTCGCGGATGACGCTGGACTTGTAATTACTGGTGATACTTGGGGGGAAGTTCAAGATAATGCTTCAGACTGCCTGGAAAAAGTCAAAGACTGGTTTGACAATAACTATTTAACAATGAACACGGAAAAAACTAAATTTATGCCCATATACCAAAATACCCTTCCAACATTCACTAAAATAAAAATAAAAAACAGTGGTTCAGAAATACAAAGAACAGACTCGACAAAATATCTCGGTGTTCTTCTAGATCCGCACTTAACATGGCGAAAACATATTAACTCCATCCTACAAAAGTGTAGATATATTCTGTCAGCATTCAAAAAGACAAGTAATTTTTTGAGTCAAAAACAACAAATTATAATCTATAATGGACTAATAAAATCAATTATCAAGTACGGTATACTTTCTTGGGGATCAGCCTCAAAAACAATAATAGAACCACTTGAAAGAATTCAAAAAACTATACTAAAAACTGTTTTTAAAAAGGATATACGCTTTCCTAGTGTTGAACTCTACGATATCTGCAAAAAAGAACTCATTCTTCAAGTCAAACAAATCTTTGTGGAAGCGTTAATAAACTACCAATTTAAGCAAAACCGCCATCAACCACAACTAACTAAACATAATTATCAGACTCGGAATAAAAACCAACTTAATACTACACGAGCAGTTAAAACAAAAGGGACAAAATGTCACACATACCTCGCCCCTAGATTTTACAATATATCTCCAGATTACGTCAAAAACAGCACACGCAGGAATCGCAAGAAACAAATTCAGAATTGGCTTTTAAACCTCAATATAGATGAAATTAATAAAATCATAGAGACTGGTTCAGCTGTCTAATCTGGATTGCTGTGGTGTTGTGGAAAATCCCATGTCTCTTATACCTTTATAGTCACTATGAAAATTGTCAGTTTTTACTTGTCCTTGCTGATTTGTTGTGTTTTATAACCTACTCAAACACAAATGTTGCTTGCCTAAATTCTAAATCTTAAATTTTAATTGATACCAAAATGATGGAACAATGATTTATCTTGATGAGAACCTTGATGAACAAACTGAGGTGATTGAAATTGGGCAGGTCAAAGCTTTGAGAACTCACTTAATAACCAAAGAGAAAAAAATGGTTTTAACAACAATGTACCGATCGCATGATGTTAATGTTGCTGATTTTGTGACCAACTTAGAAGATTACCTAAAAGCAATAAATAAAAATGAAGAACATTACATTATAGGAGACATGAACATAGATTTAATAGAGCCGGACAACAATGGCGATACTTATATTAACAACTTCTATGAAAGAAGGTTCATGCCTCTTATCACAAGTATCACTAGACCAGGTTCGGGAACGTGTTTGGACCACATTTTCGGTAACAAATCTGATAATATAAAATCTATAGTTTATGAACAGTTAATAACTGATCATTATCTGACTCTACTACTAATTGATAACAATATTAATAAAAAAGTCAAAAACAACAGGGAGTATATTGATTATAAAAAGTTAGGTAGTGTTGCAAGCAAGTTTAATTGGAATAATCTTATTGTTAATCAGGATGTTAATCAAAGTGTCTTAAATTTAGTTTCCCAACTAAAAAACATAATTAAGTTATCAACAAAAAAAGCTCACAATAAAAATAGAAAATTTGTGAAAAGAAAGAATTGGATTACAAAAGGTCTTATGGTATCTTGTCTGCATAAAAATAGACTTTATTTTGCTTGGTGTAGGGACAGGGATAATGTACTTCTCAAAAATAAATACCATGAATATAATAAAATTTTACAAAAACTAATAACCATTACAAAAAATAATTATGAAAAAAATTATGTTTTAGATAATTGTAATAATAGTAAAACTACTTGGAATTATGTTAATAAAAAATTAGGCAAAGGTAATAAAAAAAAAACGGAAATTAAGGAAATTTTACAAAATGATTTAATTTTGAAAGAAAACAGAGATATTGCAAACCATTTTAATAAATACTATAATGAAGTGGGTACCAACATGGCTCAAAAAATTAATTACAATGATCACATTATTAGGAAAAAAATTAACCTAAATAAAAACTCAATTTTTTTGTCTTTCACCAGCAAGACTGAAGTTGAGAACATCATAAAAAATTTAAAGAAAGGAGCTGCAGGAGGAGTAGACGGAATCTCAGTCAAGGTATTACAAATGCTCTGTTCCTTTATAGCTGAACCCATTTCGGAACTTGTTAATTTAATAATTATCACAGGACAATGTCCAGATAATTTCAAAAAAGCAGAGATATTACCAATATTTAAAGACAAAGAGAGACGTCTGGCTTCAAATTATAGACCAATTTCTTTAATTTCTAATATTGCAAAAATTTTCGAAAAAATAATTCATTTTAGGCTCATTAAATTTGTTGAAAAGAATGATATATTAAATAAAAATCAGTTTGGTTTTAGGAAAAATTTGTCTACAAATAATGCATTAAAGGCTTTTGCTGATAATATATATGAGTGTTTAGATAGAAGTCAACCAACTATGGCTGTTTTTCTGGATCTGGCCAAGGCTTTTGACACTGTGGACCATACTGTGCTGTTGGAAAAGTTATATCGGATGGGAATAAGAGGTATTCCATTTGATCTAATAAGAAATTACTTGAGTAATAGAACACAAATGGTGAGAGTCAATAATGTTTATAGTAATGAGTTAATAGTTAAAGTAGGTGTACCACAGGGAACCATTTTGGGACCTTTTTTCTTTGTTGTTTATCTGAATGACTTACTGGAGCTGGACACTGGTGCACAAATTTTGTCATATGCAGATGACACAGCCATAATACTACAGGCAGAAAGCTGGTCAGATCTAGAAAATCAAGCCAACACAGTCGTTAATACAGTAGCTTCGTGGTTGAGGCTTAATAAATTATCTCTGAATGTCGAAAAGACTAAATATATATTATTTAGTACATATAATGATAAAGTACCAGATGGTATTAAAGTAGTGATACATGAAAAAGATGGGGATTGTACCGCGTGTAGTTGCAGATCTTTGGACAGTACTAAAACCAACAAGTATTTAGGAGTTGTGGTGGACAACAACATGAAATGGAGAGAACACATATCATTACTGAATAAGAGATTGAGATACTTAATTTTCGTTTTTGCAAATCTTAAAAATGTGTTGGA